ATAGTGCGGGTAGGCGGCCGATGGGCTCCAGCGCACCAGGGGCTGCTCGGGGCCATCGGGGCTTTGCAGCGGGCAGGCGAAGTAGGAGCCCTTGTAGTTGAAATGGTTTTCGGAGCCAGGGTTGGGCACAGGGCTGGATTTGCAGAGGCCGTTGGGGAAGCCGGCAGCGGGCTCCGTCTCCAGCCGAGGTAGCTTGTTGAAAATCACAGGGTCCAGAGACTCCAAGTGCCGTTTTGAAGCCATTTATACGTTGCTGCCGGTGTCCCAACTGGGGCGTGCGACGGGAGAGGTGAGCTGGCCTTCCTGAACAGGAGAGAGAAAATAAATCATGAGCAAAGCAAGTCCCTATGGCAAGCACTCAGCCCGCGGTGGAACGGCACGGGGTGACAGGCTCCACCAGGAGCTCCCCAAAAGTCAGCTTGCTCACATGTTGACCAGAGAAAGCATGTCGGTTTTCACGTGCGGCTTTTCCTTATTCATTTGCGATGCTCGATCACATCGCACTGGAAGGCTAAAGGAGAGGAGGGGAGCCGTGGAAAGCCCTACTCGCCTCGCAGTCAGCCTCTGCCAAGGGCAACGGGGACTTGCTTCCCTTCTCCCATCCTCCCGGCACCTGGCAGAGATCCTAAAAAAACCCAACCCCATCCCAGCTGAGAAGCAATGTTTGATCCTCGGCGTCGAAGCTGGGGATCCGGTCAGGCGCTCCCCTCCCTCGGTGCTGGCTGGGACAGCCCTGCATGAGCCGGGGAGGGAGCCTGAAGCCGGCGGGGGGGGGATCCTGGCAGGCCGGCCGAGTGGTTCTCCATCCGCCTCCTTGGAAAAGCCCTGAAAAGCTCTCGCCACTTTGGTTTCAAAGCCTCAATGAGCGTCTGTTGCAGGCAGCGGGGAGCAAAGCCAGGTCGGCTCAGGTGAAGAGCCAGCAGACTGCGGCGAGCCACAAACACAGACTGCCCAAAATTCCCCACCAATTACACCCTTCAAGCTAATTTGAGGCTTTTCCCCCAGCGCAGCAGCCTGCAGCTCGGGGGGACCCTCTCCCTTATGGTCTCCTGGTTTTGGGCTGCTGCTGCGAGTGCTGGCCCATAGTGTCAGGCAGTGCGTGCCAGCAGGTGGAGCTGGCAGACCGTCCCAGCATCGCCCAGCATTCCCGGGCATCGCCCCGCATCCCCCGAGCATCGCAAGTATCCCCCCAGTATCTCCTGGCATCACCCAGCATCCCCCCAGTACTGCCCAGCATCTCCTGAGCGTCCCACTGAGACACCTGAGCATCACTTGAGCCCCAAGAGCATCACTAGAGCATCACCCAGTATCCCCCCCGCATCGCCTGGCATCACCTAAGCATCGTGTACATCACCCAAGCAAGCCCCGGGACCCGCCTGAGCATCGCTGGACCATGACCCAGCATCTCCCAAGCATGGCCGAACGTCACCCAGCATCTCCCAAGCATGGCCAAACATCACCCAACGTCCTCCCAGCGTGGCCAAACATCACCCAGCGTCCTCCCAGCATGGCCAAACATCACCCGGCATCTCCCAAGCGTGGCCCTGCATCCCCCAAGCACACGGATGGACTTACTGCAGTAGGATCTCGTCTCTGTTCTTCACCCCCCTGTGTTTTTTTTTTCTTTTTGTGGCAAGAGTTAGCAGAGAAGCAAAGAAGGAAACGGAGGAAGAGAGCGTGAAGATAAGATAAGCCTTGTCCACAGAAGGGGAAACGGAGCAGATAACTGGGGAGACTTGCGAGGGTAGATAAGGGACCGGAGCGCGGTGGCTCTGCTCTGCAGCGCAGCTGGAGTCCAGAGCCGAGCTGCACACAGCCCGCCCTGGCAAACCACACGCTACACCCTGCCAGCTCTCCCTGCCCTGCAGGCAGGGCCCTGCCAGACCACTTACAGGGGGAAACAGGGGTCACAGGTCCACCGGCCACCCAGCCGCAAGTGCGGGTGCCACTGCCCAGCTGCGCCCCCCCCCCCCCCCCCCCCAGCACGTCCAGCCCGGCCTGGGGGGGACCAGGGGACGGCCCTGCGCAGACCTGCCTCTCCCCAGCCCCAGCTCAAACCCAGCGGTTTTCCCCAAAACAGCAGCTCTGGCATGACCGAGCGGGCTGCGCCCCTCTGCCGTTCCTTCAGGTTGGGTTTCTTCTCCAAACGTCAACAATTTCTGGCTTTCCAGGGAGGATTTTCCCAGTTCAGTCAAACTGGGGTGGGGGTCGCAGACCGGGTACAAAAAAGACCAAGCACATTTGCTCGTTATAAATATTTAATGTACTATGAGCCTATGAGCCTCCTGTTATGGAACAGGCTTTCCATTACTGCCAAGTCTGTCCCCTCCTCCCCTGCTGACACCCTTTTGATGGAGGCCTCTTTTTTTCTTGAGAGGGATGTTTTTGTTTTTCAAAGCAGCTTGACAAACAGCCCCCTTCCTTTTCTGTTTCTCCCTCTCGGCTGTCGGCTGCACGTTGCCACGTGCCCCCCCCCCCCCAAAAAAAACCCAACCCAAACCAAGCCACGGGCTTACACCCAGCTGTGATAAAAATATGCAAAATCTGTGTTGTCAAT